CTGGGCGTGTTTTGATCGCGGAGGAATCGCGCGGAGAGCGTGCCGGCGAGCCACGTGGCGGCCGTTTAGCGCAGCGCACGGCTGCGAAGGCGCGCGGGCGCCTCCGCCGGGGAGCCAGCGCTCAGGTTGTCAACCTCTTCCCCGAGGGCTGAGTAGGCGCGCGTCAGCGCCTTGCCAGCGCCAAGTGCCACGCCCCCCGCCGACGCCGACGCCGGCTTTCCAGAAGGCTTACGCCCCGCGCGGAAATAGAATTGTGTAATGCCCGGCTGCGCGCTACACACACGCTCTGGTGGCACTTGATACGCCTATTGCGTCTTACTGGCGGTCAACTGTTTTTGCACTCAACACGTTTCGCTGTATAACCATTCGCACGACCAGATGAGTTACACCGGAAATGGTCTCTTACGAATTCCATTCTTGCAACATTTAGTCTATAATTATTTTTCAAGCGACACTTCTTTGTTTATTTAAATAGTTACTATTTTGAAAACTATAATACATTGGAAGGGACTGAACATTGTAGAACCGATGGAATAAATTAAATGTGTTATAAAAGTTTTAATAAATAATAATTTAATAAATCATAAAACCTAATTAAAATTATTCATGATCTATCAGATTCTGAGATAAACTATGAAAACGTCCAAACACGAAAATAAGTCGAAAATTGTGATAATTACTGCTGTTGTTTTTAAAATTCATTTGTTGGTTCTATTGAAAAATTGACATTTACGGGAAAAATAAGTTATTTTTTGTACTTTAGTTTTCAAAATAATAGTCAAGTGCTTATACTTTACTAATATTTCACGTACGTACGTACGTAACATCTATTTCACTATGTAGAAACCTCTACCTTGAACAGCGAAGGAGCAGGTGAGGTTCGAAAAAAGTTCGAAAAAACTTTTTCTATTATAGAAACATCCGGGTGGAATTAAAATATGCGTGTTATTACGTTAATAAGCACAAAAATTAAAAGATCGATTTCAAATTTGTAGAACCTTAACATCACAGATCGATCTACTTCATCAAAATAATTTATTTTTATTAATGTGTGATGTTTGCGTTATTTATTACTTATTTGAAATTTCAAAATTTTTTCTAAGTAAGGGCTGAAGAGAGAGAAAAAAATATACAAGACGAGTTGTGTAACTTCCTCCATTCAACGTCCGTAAGAATATTCTTCTAATGAAGGAACCGTTTCCGTGAAGGCTACTTTGCTGAAGACGGCGAATGCGCATCGAGCCTTCGTGGCAGAGTCAGCGCCCGGACGCCGCGCGACCTGTGGACTGTACTCCGCCCCGCCGCCCCTCCCCAGGTGGATTGGCGAGCGCGCGGGCGAGAGAATCCCCGTGGGAGTGGGCGCCGCCTGCTGCTGTAAACAGCCCTTGCGCTGAACATCTGTGCGGCCGAGCGGCTTCGCTTGCCCCTCCCCCAGCGCACGCTTCCCCACATACTACACTTTTTCCTTCTTGGTGATATTTTCAAAGAACCAAAGTGTAACTCAATGCTAATTGCTTAATGATAACGTAATCATGATAGGTCATACAAATAACAAAAATATGATGCCCATTTAGAAATATAATAATGCAAATATAGATTTTACTTCTAGAGAAATGCAAAGAGGAAAAAGTACTCATTCACTATATTCTGAAAACCGTAATACGTCTGTTTTTACGTTCGCGCCTTTTAAAAATGACCTTCTAAAGGTGTACACGAACATTGCAGAGAAGAAAAGACATGACATGTGAGAGATACACATAAACAATTATAAACATTTGCCATGCACAAATTAGAAATAACTGAACAGTTCTCTCGAACAGCGAACTCCGTCAGATTTTCTGATAACTAAAAACTGATACAACATTAATGGTCGTATCTTGAATGCTACACATTTCGTTTGTAGAAATCGACTAATTAGTTTCCACCCTGTGGAGAGCTGTTCAAATGAACGTTTCAATTGAGCTTCAAAAGAACCTCTTGGCCGCCTCCAGGTGGTGGCGACGGAGGCGGCGCGCGGAGGGGCGGGGGAGGGGTAGCGGGAGGGGAAGGTGTCCAGCAGCGGCGACACGTTTATGGTGGCGGGCGAGGGCACCGTTACGCCGCCCCCGCGCGCTGGCCCATGGCGACCTACTGATGGCGCCTCTGCCACGACTCGATGCGATGCGATGCGACTCCTTTTCAAGGAATATTCATCTGAATGTACCTCGTAAGGTTTCTACACGATGGACATTAAGTTTGCTTTGAATGAGATGCTAAGTTCTTTATTTCACAATTACTGTTCTCTAAAACAAAAATTACTTATTCGAATATCAACGAAATTGTAAAGTTAAAACGCATTTAGTGTTCAATCTAGCAAATAAAGATGTTAACAAATTTTAAATCATTTTATAGTGTTATTTAATTCATAAAATATTTTAATAGCCTGGCGATTCGCCGCTTGGTTAAATAATTCAAATCTCCCCAATTTTATCTCCCCAGCTGCCAATGTTAGATTTAATGGAGTCAAGCGCATGTGATTTCAATTTACAAAACATTTAAATAAGACCTAATTTATCCAGCAGATGATAAATATTTTCTACAATTTAATTAATGGCAAAGCATTCTTTTAATTTACTACTTTCTTTTCAAAATAAGAGGAAAATAGCGTTTTGAATATGAATCTAAAACGGGAACCATGTGCAATAGAAGACGTGGGTGCTAAGAAGCTAACATTTTAGAGGGGACTGCTCAAGAGAGTAGCTCTTGCTTCATCATTTGATGTGCTATTCTCAATGTAGTGACGACAGATGATGCAACAATACACGTAAATATCATAAATAGCAATAGAGATGAATGGAGACGGGTAAGGTGAGAGCATTTGGTGCGGGTGCGGGCGCGGGCGCTGGCGCGGATACTCACAGTTGTTGCGGTCGCCGCCGAAGAGGGCGTGGAAGCGCATGAAGTCCGGGCGGCCGCCGAAGTGCGCGCCTTTGCTGATGAGCACCTCGCGGATGAGGTCGAAGCTGTTGACGACGACGCACGGCGTGGAGCCCAGGGTGATGGCGTAGATGTCGCCGTAGACGCGAGACAGGGCGGACAGCGCCTGGAAGGGCACGTCGTGCTTGCCCAGCAGGTGCAGAGAGCCCAGCAGCGGCCAGGGCCGCGGGCCGGGGGCGCGAGTCTTGGCCTTGACCGGGGCGCCGGCGCCGACGACGAGGCCCGAGGGGCGCGAACGCCCCCGCACCCCTCGCCGCCAGGCGCCAGCAACCCCGCGCGACCGCCGCCAGAGCCAGCAGCGCGCTGTCACCAGGAACCCATGTCAGCCAACGTCTCAGGCAGGCAAAGACAGGAGGCGGAGACGAGTAGTCCGCAGCGACAGCAGCGGCAGTAGCTCTGCTCGGCGAGCGCGGTGCCAGTGCCGGCGGCGGACGCGCGCACCCTCTATAAGCGGTGGCGGCCCGCCCGCCCCGCTCTCCGCGCCACCCCCGCGCCGCCCCGCGCCGCCCCGCGCATGAATGATGCAGTCCACCCCGTTACGCAAACGCGGCGCTGACCAATGGGCGCGGTAGCGCCCCTCGCGCGCCGGCCACCCCGCGCCCCACGCGCGCCCGCGCCCCGCGCCGCGCCCGCGCCACCACCCGGGGGCGGGCGGCCCCCTCGCGCGGCCCCCCACTCCTCGGGGCCGGCCCGCCCGGCGCGCGCCCGCCGCGCCCGCCGCGCGCAACGCCACACGCGCAGCTCCTGCCGCTCACGCCGACGCCCCAGCGCCGCGACGCCGCCTCGCTGCTGCCTCCGCTGCTGCGGCGCCTGCCGCTCCTCGACGTGTTCGCCCTCGCCTCGCCTCTCGCCTCGCCCTTGCCATGCTCTGGACGCGCTGCTTGGTAAGTCCCGCGATGGCCGTCTCCGCGAACGTCGCCCGCGCTCGAGCCCCCCTCGCGCCCCCCTCGCGCCCCCTCGCGCCCGCCTCGCGCCCCTCGGCCCCCGCCCCTCCCCCCGCCTCGGCGCGGCCGCCTCCATGCGTGGGCCTTCCAGAAGCTTCCCACCGGGGCCCGATGACACTCCGGCTTCGCGTCTTCGCACATCGAGTCAACCTTTCGAGACGGCCCTTTTAATTCGTATGAGCATTTACAGGAAAGTATGAAGCCGTTTCGGGATAATCTTCAGGTTTCATTCTATTATAATTTGGTTTCACAAATTTAGCACCAACATGAACGTCTGTCTCAGCTGAATCTCTGGGTCTCTGAATCTCTGGGTCTCATCTCCTGGATCTCTCTTATTCTACACTATATGCACCTTTTCTTGGGGTTTACTTCCACTGAACGTTTACGACTGGAGAGATAATATACGTTTAAATCAAAACATAATTGGAAAGCGGCTTTTATATTCAATACCTCTATACTTCTTAGAGATTTCAAAATGTTTATTGCAGATGCAGCGGTATCTATGTCTAGAGATACATTTCGTATTACTTTTACCTTATATTCAATACCTGACCTTCTATTTCGATTATCTTTATCTATAGCTTTACCTCATACCTACAAGTACACTTCCAATTTGAAGGCAATGCATTGTATTGACAGTAGAGTAGGAATCACCGTGTACTGAACTGAAGGAGAAAATGTGGCAGTTGAGTGGAAGTCTGTCTGACATCCGCCCCGCTCCACAGGGACACTTTAGGACTCATCGGAGATATCGTGTTCCATCACGTTCTCTTTCACGCCCTACAATAGGCAGGAAACCAACGCTTAATTACTTAATGAGCTTATTAGTTCCAATTTTTCGGAGTCTGCGGCGGCGGGCAGTGAGAGGGCAAAAAGGCGACTAATCCCGTGTTCCGGAGCCCGTCCTCGTGGGAACGCGCGTGCGCCGGGGGAAGGCCCACGGCCCACGCAGCCCAAGGGTCGCGGCAGCGGGGCGCGGCTACCTGCGCGCGAAAACAGTCACTCGGCACCCGTCGGCGCCCCGCTCCCCGCCCCGCCCGGCAACTGTCAGGCCGTCATAATTTTCTCGGTTCCCGAAACCCTTGCCTCCGCCCCCGCCGCTGCGGTGCCTGTGAAGCCCATCTGCGCTCTCTGAGGCGCTGGGCGTCGCCTTTGTGTGCGGGCCCCGTGTTTGCCCTGCAGTTTCCTTTGGCGGAGGCTACCTGTGCAGCCGCTGCCGCAGGGCTCCGCGGCTTCGGCGCGGCTCGCGTTTCGCGCCGCCCACGCGTTGAAGTCTCTCTCGGATTTTGATATGCTTGTGGGCTGTTGCTGGCATTGGAACACAAGTAGTAATGAAATACGATTGTATGTTTTCTTTATTATGGTTATTTTGTTATATTAAACGTTTTTTTAGCTTCCATCCCCTGATCTGACGATTGGGTGTTTGTATTCAGCTCCTAATTTTAA